CTGACTCCAGCGCTGTTTTTTCCTCACTTGCCCCACTGCCTGTCAGGAAGGAATCCCATCCACTTAGGGGCCAGGTTTCTGCCAGCCATTACTAAGATCCCTGTTCAATCCTGGGTTCTGAACCCTTGTGAGGAGAGAAAACAATGAAGTGCAGGGAGGGCTAGGCAACCCCTCTCTCTAGTGAGTCTCTGAAGCCTAGGCTAGCCCAGATCCTCTGGCATGAGGGGACAGGAGTCAGCAGACCTGAGTTGCAGGCTGTTTGGCCACTAAGGATGGATAGGAGTCTGAGGTGTGGCCCAGAAGCAGCCTCCAGGAAGCATACCATGTCTTTGAAACCCAGAATTTTTATAACAAATAATGCAATTTTGCCTTCTATATTTTTGAAACGGAGTCTCACTCTGTCACCCATGCTGGAATGCAGTGGTTCGATCTCGGCTCACTGCAACCTCCACCTCCTGGGTGCAAATAATTCTGCCTCAGCCGCCTGAGCAGCTGGGATTACAGACATGTGCCATGCCTGACTATTGTATTTTTAGTAGAGGCAGGGTTTCATCACTATGTAGGTCAGTCTGGTCCCAAACTCCTGACCGCATGATCTGCCTGTCTCGGCCTCCCAAAGTACTGGGATTACAGGTGTGAGCCATCGTGCTCAGCCTATTATACATTTTATCTGCGTTAATATCAGTAGCAAATGTTTAGATTACTTACTAAATTGCTTAATTTCTCCCTTCAAAAAAAGAAAACAAGTTTTTGGTTTTTTTGTTTTGTTTTTTTAGAAACAGAGTCTCCCTCTGTCCCCCAGGCTGGAGTGCAGTGCTGTTAGCTCAGCTCATTGCAACCTCCGCCTCCCAGGTTCAAGCGATTTTCCTGCCTCAGGAGTAGCTGGGATTACAGACATGTGCCACCACACCTGGCTAATTTTTGCATTTTTAGTAGAGATGGGGTTTCAACATGTTGGCCAGGCTGGTCTCAAACTCCTGGCCTCAAGTGATCTGCCTGCCTCGGCCTCCCAAAGTGCTGAGATTACAGGCATGAGCCACCGCACCTGGCCTTCATACTCTAGTTTTGAAAACACGGAACTAGAGAATCTTGAAGACCTCTTCAACCTCTACGAGGATCATAGCAAAGGAGAAAGATACGACAAATTCCATGGAGATGCTTTCCCCCAGTCCCAAGGCCTGGCCCATAGGAGGTTGGACTCTCTGCAGGAGGACTGTCAGAGAAGGTAGAAACAGGTGTTCCAGCCATTTCAGTGTTTTTGCCTTTTGAGGGTTTCCAGCTGGTGTGCAATACGGAAATATCGATGATATCCATATAACAAAGGGGGAAGCAGGGATGGTTTTTTTTTCACCAACCTAGGGAGTATGTGACAGGGGATAACAGAGGTGATCAGGACCTGCCACAGTTGGCACAGCCCAAACCCAGGCTCACCGCTTGCCTGCACAGCAAAATGAGCTCACTTTGTTGTTGTTGTTTTTGCTCCCAGAGAAAAAAGGGGACCAGGAGGACCTGTCTAGCCTCTGGGTTTCCCAGAGGGCTGGGGTGAGTAGTGCTAGATCAGCAGAGAGAAAAGTCAGCCCTCTCACTGTCAGGATTCTTCTGTCAGTAGAATGAACCTTAAAATCTTCGAATGTTAAGACAAGCAGGTTCTAAGAGAACACGCCTTCCAGCCCCCAGCCTCCCAGCGTTATGGACAAGGAACTGAGCTGTAGGGCAGCGGGCCTTAGGAGGTTCCAGGATCTCCCTCTCTCTTGCAAGTTAGGCCCTGTTCAGTCCCCAGGAACTTTCTTCTCCCTGGCTTTGGCTTCGTCCTCACTCTGTCATGCCTCTAACCTCACTCAGAAGTACATTTTTATCTCCAGTGGGCTTAATAGTCAAAGACTTGGGAAACTCAGGTCTATGCAAAAGGCAAAAGGCAGCTGCCCAGGTCTGCATGCTGAGCCTTTCTCTGGAACACCTGGGCTGACAGGAAATGGGAGCTGCCAGCCCACCTGGCAATTTGCCAGCTCTTCACAAAGATCTCTTTTTTTTTTTTTTGAGATGGAGTCTTACTCTGTCACCCAGGCTGGAGTGCAGTGGTGCAATCTCAGCTCACTGCAACCTCTGCCTTCTGGCTTCAAGCGATTCACCTGCCTTAGCCGCGGGAGTCATTGGGATTACAGGAATGCATCACCACGCCTGGTCTATTTTTTTATTTTTAGCAGAGATGGGGTTTCACTATGTTGGCCAAGCTGGTCTCGAACTCTTGACCTCAGGTGATCTCCCCGCTTCAGCCTCCCAAAGTGTTGGGATTACAGGCATGAGCCACCACACCAGCCTCCTTACAAAGATCACTGACCCTTATGAAGCTCTTCAGGATTTGTTTTTTTTTTTTTTTTTTTTTTGAGATGGAGTCTCACTCTGTCACCCAGGCTGGAGTGCAGTGGCATGATCTCGACTCACTACAACCACCACCTCCTGGCTTCAAGCGACTCTCCTGCCTCAGCCTCCTAAGTAGCTGGGATTATAGGTGCATACCACCATGCTTGGCTAATTTTTTGTATTTTTAGTAGAAATGGGGTTTCACCATGTTAGCCAGGATGGTCTTGATCTCTTGACCTCATTATTTGCCTGCCTCCATCTCAAAATAAATAAATAAAAAAAAACACATCCATGTCTTTTAGGGATTTCAAACTTTTGTTTTTCTTTTTTTTTTTTTGAGACGGAGTCTTGTTCTGTCACCCAGGCTGGAGTGCAGTGGTACAATCTTGGCTCACTGCAACCTCTGTCTCCTGTATTCAAGCGATTCTCCTGCCTCAGCCTCCCGAGTAGCTGTGATTTCAGGCGCCCATCACCATGCTCGGCTAATTTTTGTATTTTTAGTAAAGATGGGTTTTCACTACGTTGACCAGGCTGGTCTCGAACTCCTGAGCTCAGGTGATCCGCCTACCTCGGCCTCCCAAAGTGCTGGGATTACAGGCGTGAGGCACTGCGCCCGCCCAGGCCTTATACATTTTTAATTGGCCTTTTCCCACATGTTCTAAAGAATATTCATAACTTTGTTAATAAAAATAACAACTGGAGGCCAGGTACTGTGACTCATGCTTGTAATCTCAGCACTCTGGGAGGCCAAGGTGGGCAGATCACTTGAGTCCAGGAGGTCAAGACCAGACTGGCCAACATGGCGAAACCGCGGCTCTACTAAAGAGACAAAAAGTTAGTCGGTTGTGGTGGCGTGCACCTGTAGTAGTTCCGGTTACTTGGGAGGCTGAGGCAGGAAAATTACTTGAGCCCAGGAGGCTGAGGTTACAGTGAGCTGAGATATCCCCACTGCACTCCAGCCTGGGCCACAGAGCAAGACTTTGTCTGCGGGGTGGGGGGGGGGAAGGCTGGGCAGTGCCTCATGCTTGTAATTCTGTAATTCCAGCACATGATTTGGGAGGCCAAGGCAAGTGGATCACTTGAGGCCAGGTGTTTGAGACCAGCCTGGCCAATGTGGTGAAACCCTGACTCTACTAAAAATACAAAAATTAGCTGGGCATGGTGGCGCGAGCCTGTAGTCCCAGCTACTCAGGAGCCTGAGGCAGGAGAATTGCTTGAACCCGGGAGGATTGCTTGAACCCGGGAGGCGGAGGTTGCAGTGAGCCGAGATCGTGCCACTGCACTCCAGCCTGACGCAAAAAAAAAAACAAAAGAAAACAAACAACCAAAAAACAACTAGCTGTATGCGATGGCTCACGCCTGTAATCCCATCACTTTGGGAGGCTGAGGCGAGCAGATCAGCTGAGATTGGGAGTTCGAGAGTAGCCTGATTAACACGGAGAAACCCCGTCTCTACTAAAAATACAAAATTAACCAGGCATGGTAATGCATGCCTGTAATCACAGTTACTTGGGAGGCTGAGGCAGGAAAATCGCTTGAACCTGGGAGGGGGAGGTTGCAGTGAGCCGAGGTTGCAGTGAGCCGAGATTTCACCATTGCACTCCAGCCTGGGCAACAAGAGCAAAACTCCATCTCAAAACAAACAAACAAAATCAAGAAAAACCGAAAAACTAATATTTGTGTGTAGAGTTTGTAGGCAGGATAGAACTCGTCAGTGTCACTGCACAGGTGAGAAACAGATTCAGATGGGTGCAGTGACGTGCCTACAGTCACACAGTGTCAGCAAGGCTGAAGCCAGAACTCTACATCCAGGCTCATTTCCTTATCCCAGGCAACTCACACTCTCAGTTGTAAGCTAAAGGGGACTGTACATGCTGGAAAGCGCGGATCGATGTTGTAGGGTGGGGTGTAGAACAGACGGAGTGATAGTCTCGTTATCGCTAAGGAGATGTTGACCCAAGAGACTTTCTCTAGGTCAGCCCTTGTTTTATCTGATCAAGTTCTTCCTCCCCTTGCAGAATTCGGCAGCGTCCAACAGTGCTGACTCAAATGGCAAGACTGACACCCAAGGGGTTTCCCTTTAGCTGACACCTTCAGTCCCAGAAGTGACAGTGATTCTGTCACCACAGCACCCTCTGGGATCCTCCCCCGGGAGCTCTGGGGTCCCGCAGGAAGGCCACTCTGGGAATCGGTGCCCGTGAAGAGGGGCCCTTCCCCACCCCAGCTGTGCCGTATGTAATCCACAAAGGGCCAGACTCTGGCATAAGCACCCAGGAGCCACTGCTGAACCTTTTTGTACTCAAAAGCAGCCGCACAGAAATACAAAAACTTTCAGATTCTGCTCCGGGAACTGGTGCACACAAGAGCTTAACTGATTTCGCCGCGGTCTGCGGTGGCTTGTCTGGGGCCAGCGGGATGGGGGAAGGGAAGATCCCCCCAGCTCCCTCTCCCCTCCCCCCAACAGCGGAGGTGCGACCTCAAGGGAGCGTGACCGCCGAGGTGACAGATGCAGAGCAGCTGACTGGGGGGAGGGTCCAGTCCTCGTCGACCCCCTACTGGGGGAAGCGGGGACGTGACTTGGAGAACGTTCGGCTGAAGAACAGGAGGGGGGATGGAGGGAGACGGGGAAGGGGAGGAGGCCGGGGCTGGCCCTGGCCCCGCCCACCCGCGGGAGAAATAAGGCTCCTCCCACCATCCAGGAAGAGGGCGGCCCGGCCAAAGAGATGCTGAGCTCAGCATTTTGGACCCCAGCGGCTCGGTGGGGGCAGGGCGCGGGGTTGGCGCCTTTCTGGTGAGAGTCGGAGAGGGGAGAGACGGGGAGGGAGGGCGAGGCCGAGAAGGCCCTCACAACCCTGAGGCTGTAACTCTTCTCCCACCGGGTCGTGCTTACAAAGCGGTCTCTGTTGGGGAGGGGAAGGCTTCCCGGGTGCGCGCAGTTAGGGGTAGGGGGAGAGGATGTCGTCTGTGAGTCACTACCCTAAACCCTGACTTAGCCCCAAGAACTCACGTCAGAGAGGCCAAGCCTTTGTGCCCTCTGACCCCAGGGATGATTTGGTGGAGGGCGCGCAGGGCGCAGGGCTGCCACTGCAGGGCGGAGGGCTGCCCCTGCAGGGCGGCAGTCCCTACTGCCCAGGCTACCCCAGCTAGCGCAGGAAGGGGTTTTATTTAAGGCAACCTTGAAAAGTGCAGGGGGCATCGGCTTGGGAAGAGAAGCAAGGAAAACCTTTGTACCCACCTGGCACAAAGGGCTACCCAGGCCAGGCAGGTGGGTGGCTATTTTTGAGCTGACCTACATACCCATTTGCCTCTTTATCTTTTTATTATCACACATGGTTATTATGGGAGCTTTTCTTCAGCACTTAATGCAGCTGCTGCGTTTCTTGAGGGCTGCACAATAAAGTGTGTGGCCTCTCTCTCCAGGAAGTTTTAAGGGTGTCTGGGCCAGTAAAGAAGGTCACCAATAGGCCTGCAGCAGCTTCCCCAAGCTCTTGCCACATGGAACAGGATTCTGACCCTGACGTCCCCATCCAGAGCTGGTCAGCCCTGGAGGCAGATGATGACATTCACATTTGACAACAGAGTCACTGGGTTTTGCTGGGGCCTGAAGCCCCTCAGCCTTTGGGCCTTGCCACTTGCAGAGGCTGACCCCATCGTCCTATGGCCCCACGCTATGGCTTTCCTGCACAGATGGGGCAAGGGACGCTCATCTGCAGATGAGTTGTGGGCAGACTGGTTTGGGATTTACTGCTCTGATTTTTCTTAAGGAGACGCAAGGAGAGCCTGGAACTTTCTGTTTATTCTGTTCAGCCTCACTAGGGCCTCCCTCTCCAAACCTTTTAATAGCTCTCCATTGCCTTTAGAGCCAGTCTGGCTGCTTAGTTCAGCCTTCCAAGCCTTGGGGGCAGGCTGGAGATTCATCTCCCACCCACAGCCCAGAAGGGGAAAACACATATGGTTCTAATTATATCTGAAACGCTCTTAAATTTTCCATAAAGTACAGTATGCATGGCTTTGTGTATACAACTTTGCATAGTAATATGTATGTAGATATGCAAAATATATACAGCCATGTAAGGTGGACCATAAAGAGAACATCAACAAAGGACAGCATATAATTTACAGTATTTTAATCATGCTAAAGACAGACACATAGACCTGGAAGTGTGACTGGCAGAGGTCACAGCGGAGTTTCTCTTCTCTAATCTGGTTCTCCCTCTGGGAGAAATCTTTGGCCCTGAGGAAAATGGATGCCTGCACTCCTTGACACGCTTATTTTTTTTTTTTTTGTGAGATGGAGTTTTGCTCCTGTTGCCTATGCTGGAGTGCAGTGGCGCCATCTCAGCTCACCTCAACCTCTGCCTCCTGGGTTCAAGAGGATTCTCTTGCCTTGTCCTCCCAGTATATGTATTATAATATTTCTTTTTTTTTTTTTTTTTTTTTTGAGACGGAGTTTCACTCTTGTTACCCAGGCTGGAGTGCAATGGTGCGATCTCGGCTCACCGCAACCTCCGCCTCCTGGGTTCAGGCAATTCTCCTGCCTCAGCCTCCTGAGTAGCTGGGATTACAGGCACTCGCCACCATGCCCAGCTAATTTTTTTTTTGTAGTTTTAGTAGAGACGGGGTTTCACCATGTTGACCAGGATGGTCTTGATCTCTTGACCTCGTGATCCACCCGCCTCGGCCTCCCAAAGTGCTGGGATTACAGGCTTGAGCCACCGCGCCCGGCCAATTCTTTTTTTTTTTTTTTTTTTTTTTGAGATGGAGGCTCATTCTGTCGCCCAGGCTGGAGTGCAGTGGTGCAATCTCAACTCACTGCAACCTCCACCTTCCAGGTTCTAGCGATTCTCCTGCCCCAGCCTCCCAAGTAGCTGGGATACAGGCATGTGCCACCACGCCTGGCTGATTTTTGTATTTTTAGTAGAGACCAGGGTTTCACCACGTCGGCCAGGCTGGTCTGGAACTCCTGGCCGTAGGGATCCACCTACTTCGGCCTCCCAAAGTGCTGGGATTACAGTCATGAGCCAATGCGCCCAGTTGTATTTTATATTATAAATCTTTAAATACCCTCTACCACCAGCACTATAATTCCCTGCAGCACACCCACACACACCCCTGTCCCAGTGTTGGAATATATACAATATGTGCTCAACAAGTGTTTGACCCAGAATTGAATGGAGCTAGAACCCACATGTGACTGAAGGTCAATGTGGAATCAGTGGGAAATCTCCCTGACCCCTCCCAGGCCATGGGGAACTCTGCTCCCTCTGAACTCGGCCAGCACTTCTTATTGTCACAGAAAGTTAGAACTGAAGGGGGGATTCCCCTTGTACATTTGAGGAGAATAAAGGGAAGTGTCCAGAGCGGCCCAGTGTGGGAACCGGACCTTACAGTTTGCTGGTATCTCTCCACTGCACCCTGTCACCTCTTCAGAGAGGGCTTCCCAGGTTGCCCGAAATCCCTTATTCTCTTCTGCTGTTTCTTTTCAAAGTACTAATTCGGTTTTTTTTTTTTTTGAAAGGTCTCACATATTTATTACTGAACCCAGGCAACCAAAACCTTTTTTTTTTTTTTTTTTACACGAATAATGGAAGCACTGTGCGTTGTACTAATGCCTTCATAACAGATACAGAAAGGAAACTCTTCAAACTTCTCCAGATGGCGGTGACATTTTTCAGCTTGATTTGGTAACACGACTGTGACCTACAGACAGCATAAATACGTGTGCCATCACATGTGTAATTTCTTACAGACCAAGTTTGGTTCTTCTCCAATGTCTCCTTTTGGAGTTGTACCTGATTTTATTACCAGTTTTTATCCGAATCCACTGGGGACTGGGACGATTTTGCTTTTGTTTCTTGGCCAGGAATCGCTTAATCCTGAAAGTCTTGTCAGAAGACATGGCGAGAAACGGAGTAATGCCCACACCACTATGGCGGAGAAAGGAAGAGAGGAAGAAGCCTAATTCGGTTTGTAATCCTTCATTCATCTCTCTGTGTGGTTGTCCAGTGCCTGACTTGCCCACTAAACGGCGAGCTGTAGGAGGCCAGCGTCTGTATCTGTTTTGTCCTGGGTCTTCTGGTGCCCTGCACAAAAAGCCTAGTCCACAGTTTCCAGTGATAATAGTTGAAGGAAAAAAAAAAAGAGGAAATCCTAGCACTTTGGGGGGCCGACGTGGCAGATCACTTGAGGTCAGGGGTTTGAGACCAGCCTGGCAAACATGGTGAAACCCTGTCTCTACTAAAAATACAAAAATTAGGTGGGTGTGGTGGCTCACACCTGTAGTCCCAGCTACTCAGGAGGCTGAGGCAAGAGAATCACTTGAACCTGGGAGGTGGAGGTTGCAGTGAGCCAAGGTCACACCACTGCACTCCAGCCTGGGTGACGGAGTGAGAGTCCCTCTCAATCAAAACAAACAAACAAACAAACAAAACAAAACTGAGGCCAGGCATGGTAGGTCATACCTGTAATCCCAGCACTTTGGGAGGCTGAGGCGGGTGAATCCCCTGAGGTCAAGAGTTCAGGACCAGCCTGGCCAACATGTTGAAACCCTGTCTGTACTAAAAAAAAATACAAAGCTGGGCACGGTGGCTTATGCCTGTAATCCCAGCATTTTGGGAGGCCAAGGCTGGTGGATCACCTGAGGTCAGGTGTTTGAGGGCAGCGTGGCCAACATAGTGAAACTCTGTCTCTGCTAAAAATAAGCCAGGCATGGTGGCATGTACCTGTAATCCCAGCTACTTGGGAGGCTGAGGCAGGAGACTGGCTTGAACCCGGAAGGTGGAGGTTGCAGTGAGCAAAGATGGTACCATTACACTCCAGCCTGGGCAACAGAGTGAGACTTCATCTCCAAAACAAACAAACAAACATTAGCTGGGCGTGGTGGTGCACGAGTAATCCCAGCTACTTGGGAGGTTGAGGCAGGAGAATCACTTGAACTTGGGAGGTAGAGGTTGCTTAGTGAGCCAGGATCGTACCACTGCACTCCAGTCTAGGTGACAGAGGGAGACTGTGTCTCAAAAAAAAAAAATGAATAAATAAAAAGAATGAGTATCCATATGGCCTGAGAAGCTTAGTGCATTTTCTTAGGGCACTGCTGAGACTGGCTCAGAAAGTGTTGAGTTGAGGGGTCTGGAGAGTTTCTTGCCAGGAGCTCCAAGGTAACACCTGGCCTTGAGCAGCCTAAAGTATATGGGGGCGATAGACCCCTAGTGAATAACCCTACCACCAGGAAGAGGTGTTTTTTTTTTTTTTGAGACAGAGTCTTGCTCTGTCGCCAGGTGCTAGGCTGGAGTGTAGTGGCATGATCTCAGCTCACTGCAACCTCCGCCTCCCAGGTTCAAGCAATTCTCCTGCCTCAGCCTCCCAAGTAGCTGGGACTATAGACTCTCACCACCACGCCCAGCTAATTTTTATATTTTAGTAGAGACGGGGTTTCACTATGTTGGCCAGGATGGTCTTGATCTCTTGACCTCATGATCTGCCTGCCTTGGTCTCCCAAAGTGCTGGGATTACAGGCTTGAGCCATCGTGCCCAGCCCAGGAAGAGGTTTATACGGTGATGACAAATCAGATTAGGGATTGGAATCTAGCAGTGGTGTGGAGGGCAGATTGCAGGTTGGAGACCTAAGGCAGGGAACCAATTAGGTCATGATTGCAAAAACTTGAAAACCACCTAAGTGGTTTCTCTGGTAGGAAAACAGTTAAATAAATCACCATACATCCCAATCATGGGAAATTATGTGGGTGTTAAAAAGAGGGAGGTAGATTTTGGAAAGATGTCCAAGATCTGCTGCGAGGTTGCAGAACAATTTGTACACTGTACTCCCAGGCTGAGGGGAGACAAGAGGACACTCCCCTGCAGATACACGCATTTCAACATGCTGAGAAAACATCTAGAAGGATACTGGAGAAGCTATTGAAGAGGGATGAAGAGGCTTTCTTTTCTTTTCTTCCTTTTTTGAGACAGAGTCTCACTCAGTTGCCCAGGTTGGAGTGCAAAGGCTCAATCTCTGCTCACTGCAACCTCCGCCTCCTGGGTTCAAGCGATTCACCTGCCTCAGGCTCCTGAGTAGCTGGGATTACAAGCGCCCACCACCACACCCGGCTAATTTTTGTATTTTTAGTAGAGACAGGGTTTCTCTATCTTCGCAGGCTGGTCTTGAACCCCTGACCTCAGGTGATCCACCCAACTTGGCCTCCCCAAATGCTAGGATTACAGTTGTGAGCCACCATGCCTGGACTTTTTCTTTCTACACTTTCTGCACTGGTGGATTTTTATCATGAGCCCAAATTATTTTCACCAGATTTTTGTTTGTTTTTTTGCTACGGCAGGATTGTGGGTGATGGGTAAGGAGGTGGGGTGGGGGCTGGACAACGGAGACCCAGTCAGCAGTGCCAGGGAGGGAGGCACATTGACAGATGGACAGGAGTGGAACCAGGGAGGAGGCTGCAGGGCCATGGCGCCTGGGGGGTGGAACGGGGGAGGCACAGCGTCATGTAGGGGGCCTCACTCAAGGTGATTGACCTCCGCAGTGCCAGTGACCCCAAGCAAGGGACAAGTCCAAGACCAGGAAACCCTAAATTTGGGGGACAAGGGCAAGTAAAGGAAGTAGGTTGAACTTTAGGACCCTACGGATTCCTTGGCTGTCAGCACCATCCTTCGGGTACAGACCGTTCTGGCTGCGGCAGGGAAACAAACAGATGAAGGAGGGGCCAAACCCCAGCCCCTGTGGGAGGCGGTCGGCTTGCTATCAGCCCTGGTGTTCCTGGGAGCGTGCCCTGCTTCTCTGCTCACTCTTTTGGGCTGCCCGCTGGCAGGCCAGGCTAACATCCAGGCCCAGGGTGAGCGGCCAGGGCTTCTGGCCCCTTCCGGAGGCTAAGCCGCTTCCCAGGACCCAGGCAGAGGAAGACAGAACAATGCTGTTCGTGGAGCGATTGCAGGGGAGAGAAAGCTGGGTGGGGGTGGAGAAGGTTCTTGGCTCAGTGAAGCCAGTGAAAGCCTGCAGAAGGTCGAAGGTAGAGGAGTGCTCTGTGATTTCTGAGACAGCAGCTCATTTATCTCAAAAACACTTGCTCTGAGCCTAAGTCCAGGGGTAAATGCTGCCCCTATGCAAAGCTGGGTTAAGTCGCTCAGAGGTACTCTGCCTGGGTCTTGTCTCTAGGGTCTCTCTGCAAAAGCCCCTGTGGTCCAGGAGCAGCTGAGGCATTTTCATAGATGTCTATTTATTCTCCACTAGAACCTTCTAGAAGAGGCATTCTAGTTTTGTTTTTTTTTTTTTTTTTTTTTTTTTTTTAGATAGTCTCGCTCTATCCAGCTCCCAGGCTAGAGTGCATAGCTCACTGCAGCCTCAAACTCCTGAGCTGAAGTGATCCTTTGCCTTAGCCTCCTGAGTAGCTGCAACTACAGGCATGCGCCACCATGCCCAGCTAAATTTTAAAATGTTTCTTTTGTAGAGATGGGGGTCTCTCTATGTTGACCAGGCTGCTTTTGAACTCCTCCTGCCTTGGCCTCCCAAAGTGCTGGGATTACAGGCTTGAGCCTCCATGCCTGGCCTAAAAGAGGTGCTTTTTTTTTTTCAAAGCAAGAAACTGAGACTGGGGAGGATGGTGCCTTGCCCACGACCACATGGTTAGGAAGTGTTAAAACTGGGATTCAAACCTGGGTGTGCCTGTGTCCCTCTTATAATTCAGCTGCTTGGAGCTCAGAACACATTTTCCCATAGAAATTATGCTGTAACTGGTGGTTTGGCTGCCATAATGGCCTAGCTCACCCAGGGTATAGCCGGAATTAATTCTATGTTTCAGTATGGTTGTGGATGAATCAGGCTTCTGTGGGCTAGCCTGGAAACCCACGAGAGAGGGAAGATGTGTTGAGGGTTTGCCCAGTCGGGAACTTTTGCCCTTCCTGTAGCCACCTGGATCAGGGCAAGCAGGCAAATGCTCAGGGAACCCTTGTCCATTTCAGAGCTCAGCCAGCAAATCCTGGTGAGTTCTAGTTGTTTACAGGAGTGGGACAGAACATCTGGCAGGTTTGGTGTTTATAAGACAGAAAGTGCAACATGAGATATGTGTTAATTTTCAGACTGAAACTCTTAGTCTTTTTCTTTCTTATCCTACCTCTCAACTCCATACTGAGTCGTCTTGGATATTTTTCCTCTAGAATAGAGCACTAAAGGCATGAGCCAGGGTTTACCTTCACAAAACCTGACATCTGCCTTTGGAGTGGGTGAGTGACAGTAACTGCATAGGGTTAGGAGTGCTGGAGATCAGAGCAGCTGTTGAGAGAAGTAAGGATGGATCACAGTCATCTTCTAGTGACTTCCGGGGAACACTCACTCATTCATTCAACAAACATTTGCTGTGGGTGTGCTGGGCACTGTGCTGGCTCCTTTCATGTTGCTTCTGTTGCTCAAAGAGTTCTGGGTAGGGATGACTGTGGGTCTCAGATTCAGAATCTTAGCATTGCAAGGAATCTTTTTACAAATGGTAACTGCAGCCATTCATTAATTTTAAAAAGCTGGAGTGTTGGACGTTGTGCCAAATACTGAGGATCCGTAAAGCATGAAGATTGAGGTCCAGAGAGAGGTGGGAAGTGATTTGCCCAGGGTCTTAATCCAGGATTCTAGCACCTGGACCAGAAGCTACCTTCCCAACCACACCAATGGTGTTCCTGCCTCAGTGTGCCCCAGCCATCCTTGGGGATTCCTTTTGTTTCCCAGGACCAGGGTTCAGGGCCTGGGGAAAGGACACAGAGAAGCCGTAGATTGCTTTCTAGCTGGTAACAACAATGCCTGGGTCTCCCCTGGAGTGAGGGTTGGAAAATCTTCCTGTTGGCTGGAGTTCAGAAGGTTTAGAAAACTTCTGTTAGTTCTTTCAATGAGCCACCTGCTCTCTAAATTCTGGGTCTTCACAAACGGTTAGCTCTGCCCAAACTGCTTTTCCCAGTTTCCTTCATCTGGCAAATTTCTCTCGCTCCCCTTTGGGTCTCAGCTGCAATATCTATTTCTTCTTCAAGGAGATGTTCCTGGGCTCTCAGCCTTGGGTCCCCGTGCTCTGCGGTCACCTATGACACCTGGACTTCCCCTGAGATAATCGTGAGCCCTCGGGACTGCTCCTACTTACTGAATGTCTTTGTTTCCACTA